CAGCAGTCCAAAAGCATGCCAAGAAAACCTGCTTTAATGCCTTGTAACTACGCGCTCATCAGCCAGTCAACAGCCCCATAAGCTCTCACGACCTTTTACTACGTGGCACTTTGGGAAACTTCTTAATTTCCCCTTCGGGTTCCTATAGAGGTACGCAATCATAAATAATGTGGTGGGGGCCCGAAACTACAACCCAGTTTAACACCCTATAACCCTCAACCAGATGCTTCCAAGCTCTATACCCTACAGCCCTACAGCCCTAAACCCTGCACCCCAAAAGCCCTCGACTAAACCCTAAACCCTACAATCTACACCCTACTCGAAGCTCGAGAACAGAACCCTAAACCCTAAACCCTAAACCCTAAACCCTAAACCCTAAACCTAAACCCTGAACCTAAACTGGGCCTAAATCCAAGCAACTGCGATGGCAGCTACAGGAGCAGAAGCCCATCGAGCTTCACTTCCTGGTGCCTTGGGTTTCTGAATGGGCATACAAGTAGGGCATGGTAGGTTATAAGTTATAAGTTATAAGGGATGAGGGGGAAGGATTTCTGAATGGGCATATATAAGTCGTAGGATATAGTAGGTTATAAGGGTTTAGGGTTCAGGGTTTCTGAATGGCATATAAGTAGGATTTAGTAGGTAATCAGGAGGATATAGTAGGTTATAAGGGTTTAGGGTTTCTGAATGGGGACGTATTAGTAGTCTTAGGTTATGTCCAGGGTTGTCTGTACCCTAAGTGAAGTTTTCTTATCTGCAACCTTTTTTTTTCTCATCACCTGCTCATATACCAAGGCCCCCCTGAGCTGCCAATTGGTTGGGGCTTTGCGCTAGCAATTCGGTATTGGAGTGTTTTGGGTTCGGCGGTTCTTGAAGTTTGGCTTCAGGATTACGTGGCACCTCTGGGATGCCAATTATTGAGTTCTGCAGGTTTTGTTTGCAGCGTTTTCAGTGTTTCTAGCTCCCACGCAGCCTTTCAGTGAAGTCCCTTAGTCAGCATGCAAAGACTTGAGGCAGCCGATTTAAGGAAGCAGCATCTACTGATGCAAACCCGCGACAAAACCCGGAATGTCTGAACTCGAAAACCCTAAACCCTGAAACCCAAAAAACCGTAAAAATCCCAAAGCTTCTAAACCCTGAACCCTGAGACCCTAAGACCCACAGCCCTGGGCACTTTAATCCTAGTGTGACTTCAAGGTGGAAGGCCCTCCGACTGAGATTCTCCGCTGCCGCGATGCGGTTGAAAAGGCCATTGCCAAGCGCAGTCAGCTGGTCTGCATTCACACTTTTTCCTGAACCATGCTCAACCCTAAACCCTAAACCATCCTAAACCCTGAACCATCCTAAACCCTGAACCATCCTAAACCTTAAACATACCCTAAACACCAAGCCCAAACCCGAGAGCGCTGAATCCTTCAAAGTCCGGCATTGGTTTTCTTCGAGTTTTGGATTCAGATCTGGCGCATCTTGGGTTACAGCTTTGGGTTTCAATACAGGGGCCGAAATAATTACCTGTACTATTGTGGGGGTTCCTTGTTATAAAAATAGTATAATATACCCCAAAACCCTATTCTAAAAATTCAGGCCCCTAAACCCTAAACCCTTATAGTAGCCCTTATAGAACCCTTTCAAGAACCCTTTAAAGGAGCCCCCAAAACCCTATTCTAATTATTAAGGCCCCTACATTAGAGGGTTCTAGCGTTTCGGATGTCGGGCTTTGGACTGAGGGGTTGGGGTCTGGGGTCCAGGGCAGTCTGGGGTTTAGGGTTTAGGATAACAGTAGTATAATATACCCTAAAACCCTATAATAGCATAATATACCCCAAAACCTTATTGTAGTATAGTATACCCCAAAACCCTATTCTAAAAATGAAGGTCCCCACATTATCCCTCCAGCGCTTGAACGACGGCCTGAGCAGAGCTTGATCCCCACTGCCATCTACAAGCAGGCGGCGTTCAAAAAGAGCATCCTGCCTAGCGGCGCGGAATCCGCCATATATGTACTCCGAAATCATGGATCCGTAGCTTTAAAGCAGCTCGTGGAGACCCCTAAGCCTAAGATAGGGACCTTAGTAATGAGAATAGGGTTTTGGGATCCCTGATATTAGACTTGTGATAAGGAACCCCCAAAAATAGTATAGGTAATTATTAAGGCCCCTACGCTAACCTTGATCAAAGTCTTCGAAGCATCTCTCGGTGTCTCTTGCATACACCCTGGGCCCAGGTGATGCCGGGTTCATCAACGCCATGAGGCTCGGGTAGAAATAAGCTTGAAGGGTTGAGGTCGTATTCAATCCCTCAGCACCATTTTTGACTAGTATATCCCTATATAATCTCTCTATAACCCCAAAGGTTAACCCTAAGTTCCACATGATACTCGACAAGTAAGAATCGCATGAGGGATGAGGGTCATCAGGTCTTCCCTTTGTAGAGCAGCTGCCACAAAGACAGATAGCACACCAAGCGGCTGCTGTAGCAAACCCTAGATCCTGAGCTGTTTGAAACCAAGGTTTCTGTGTGTGTGTGTGTGTATGTTCGGAAGGAAGATGCACTGCTTGAGCATTACATGGGAGTTTCCGAAAATTAGGTGTACCTTATTTTGGGGTTCTTATAATAAGGATCCTACTATTTAGGGTACTATATTAGGGTCCCCTATTTTCTGAAACCGCCACATTGGTGCGTTCAGAAGCTTTGTGGGTGGCCTAAGCTTTAGTGATAGGACCCACTTCCATTCCCCCAAGATCGTTCTACCGTAAATCCAAGTATCCTTATTGCTGCATAATCCAATTAATCGTTTCCCCTTAATATTAACACCCCCTAATATAAAAAACTCAAATCTGGGGGTTTGGTGTTTATATTAGGGGGGTTTCCGGCGCATACGAGTATGACTAGTGTAATCAGTCTGCAGCGAAGCCCTAAAAGCTGAAGCCCGAAACCAAAGAGTCAGACACAACGACCGATTCCGACGCAGCCACCTGAGGCTCTTAATCCCTAAGCCAGGGGCCTTAATTAAGCCCTAAGCCCTTAACCCTAGAGCCTCAAGCCCTAAACATCTAAGCCCGAAAGCCTTAAGCCCTATAAGCATTAAACCCTAAAGCCTTATGCCCTAAAGCCTTAAGCCCTGAGCCCTTAACCCCTAACCCCTAAACCCTGAAGCTCTGGCCCTTTGGTTTAGTACTACTGTAGTCTTGGCTCTATTAAAACTCATACAATCCCTAGGCCCCCCCCCTAATGTTTTCAATAAACACTCAGTTGTGGGCCCGAAACCGCGAATTTCCGGGGGCCGGCAGTTTTTCTATTAGAGGGGTTTAGTGTCAGGGGGAAGCGATTAACGCATAGATTATCATCAAATATATATGTATATATATGTATACTAAGCTCCAAGCCCCTGAAGCCCTAAACCATCAACGACAAACCCCTCAATCATGAACCATGTTATGATCCAGAAAAGCCCCAAGCCCCAAACCACAAACCCTGAGCCCCAAGCCCTAATAATAAGCCCTCAGACCCAACCCCCCCAAAGAAGAACCCCTTAGTAGCTGAGTGGATACACTTTACATTTTTTGGGGATAAAACTACCCACTATAACACTTGAAAGTGTTCACTTTTTGGGCCTTATGAACTCAGCAACCCTTCACCCTAAACCCCTAAATCCTAAAACCCCAAAACCCTAAAACCCTGAAACCTTAAACCCTCAACCCTAAACCTTTAAAACCCTAAGAGCTCCGAAGACAAGATGGCAGGGACGCAGGGCAGGCCGAGGGGCCGGCCTGGCTCTCCGAGGCACCGCGTCTTTGGCCGCCGCCGTGCTTCAGAATTTGCGGTTTAGGGTATAGGGTTTAGGGAGGGTTTAGGGTTTAGGGTTTAGGATTTAGGATTTAGGGTTTAGGGTTTAGGGAGGGTTGAGGGGTTTATAGAAACTGTATAGTGTTTGGGTCCGGAGGTTTGACCGAAAGTTGTGACCGAACGTTTCGTTTGCTTTTGACTTTGCATTTGAGCTGGGCTGGGCTGGGCGGGCTGGGCTCCGCTTGCAACGCCATGTTTCGCGCCTGGGAACAAAGACCATTTCGTGCAGGTCCGCGCCTCTTTCCTCGCTGACCTGGCAGTGTCAGAGAGGGGGGGGTCAGGGCGGGGCTCCGAGCCCGAACCCCCCCAATTTTTTCAGGACGGAAGCGGGGACGGACAGGGAGGGAGAAGGGTTGAGGGGGATGGGGGGGGAGGGCGGGGTGGAAAAGGATTGGAGGGGTTTGCGACTTGGAAATGGGCGTGTTAATGTTCGCTTGCACTGGATGAATATTCAAAACGAGTGAAATTGCAATCCGAAAGGAAGTCCTCACAATTTCTATTTGTTCTTGAGGGTCTTGGGTTTAGGTTTCGTGTCTGCTGTTTTGGAAGGGGGAGGGGGGGGGTGTAGGGTTTAGGTGGTTTAGGTTTTAGTGAGCGTTTCTTTCGTTTTGGAAGGGGTGACATTTGAGATTGTCGCGCTTCGTCCATCCCGAAACCCTAAACCCTAAACCCTAAACCCTAAACCCTAAACCCGAGGGTTTAGGGTTTCGAGTTCGGGTTTGGAGGCTCCGGGGTTCAGCAGAAGGGTTTGGGTTCAGGCAAGGCGTTTGTGTTTCTGGAGCCTCGGGTGTGTTTTTTTTTTGGGTTTTGGGGCGCGCGGTATTTCGAGTTCAGGGTTTAGGTCGAGGGTTGGGCTATTCTGCGGCTTTAGATTTCAGGATTTGAGAACAGTTCGGGCCTCAACCATAAACCCAAAACCCGAATCCCAACACGCCGAAGCATTAAAGCTATAGGCTTTCCCTAACCTGTAGTACTTCTGCCTAAGATCTTGATCTGCTGCCGAGATTAGGGTTTAACGGCTTCGGGCTTAGAGTTGTTATGGCTTCGGGTTTAGGGTTGATGATAGGATGTAGCAGTTTCGGGTGAAGAGTCTACGGCTTCTGGTGGTGGGAACTAGCAGTTTGGGGTTTAGAGGTTAGGCTTGGGGTGGGATTTAGCAAGCAGCCCTAAACCCTAAACCCTAAACCCTAAACACTAAACCCTAAACCCTAAACCCTAAAACCCTAAAACCCTAAGCAGCCCTAAATTGCTTTTAACAGGCCTTGCTGTCGCAGCTGAAGGGCAAGAAGGGCGGCAGCAGCACATCTGGCTGGAGGCCTTTCCTCTCAGCTTCCCAGAAACAGACCCCTTAAGGAATTAGGGTTTAGGGTTGAGGGTTTAGGGGTTAGGAGTTAGGGGTTTAGGGTTTAGGGGTTTAGGAATACAATAGAATACACACACATTACAAGGGGCTTATCCCACATGAAGATTTGTGGTAGATTCCTTTGTTGAGATGTGTTAGGTTTTCCGGGTTTCCAGCAACCTTGATAGAGGTGCGATGTCGGGTATTGAGGTGACAGAGGGGTCTGAGCATAGAGTGAGTATGTTCCCTCATCATCCCTGTAAAATTCTCACGAATAAAAACTATATCAATTAATGAGGCCCCGATTCTGAACCGTAAACCCGAGTACGCATCAGTCTGCAGTTCTAGCAAGTGATGACGGCTTAGGCTTTTGGGTTTAGGGTCTATGGGTAAGGCCTTGGTTTTGTACAAACTTAGACAGAAGGCAGACAACTAGGGACAAAGACTCACATCGCGACTTCCAAACCCTCATGTCCCGAACTCTTGAAAACGCCTAAACCTAGCCTTCATCCTTCTCTTCGTATAGGGCCTCATCTACCTCTTGGGCGAAGGAGGATGTTCTGATGTGAAGGGCCCTCACACTTCAAGGATCATGGGACTTAGTAGCTGGGTCAAAAATACGGCAACTATGCTTACAAAATTTCTTATCGCCCAATGAAGGTATTTATTATGAACCCCTCCAAGTGGATTGTGTAAAGTCACCAGACCCCAACCCTAAAGTGGCCGTAAGCCTTGAACTTTAATACAGGCACCTAGCTAAGTGCCAAGCATCATTTTTGGGTTCCGCATTTGTGCTTATTACCATATGGGAGTTTCCGAAAATTAGGGGTACCTTGTTTTGGGATCCTTATATTAAGGATCCTATTATTTAAAGTACTATATTAGGGTCCCCTATTTTCGGAAACCCCCATATACCCCACAACCCTATTCTAATTATTCAGACCCCAATCTTAGCCATTTCGACAGCATCTCAAAGAGGATTGACTCCGGGGAGCTTTTGGCTCACTCCTTACAATCTTAGGGTTTAGGGTTTAGGGGTTTCGGGTTTAGGGTTTCAGATTTTAAGGTTTAGGGTTGAGGGCTTCACCCCTGCGCCCAAGGTCCCCCGCCGTAGCCAGAGTTACCTCCCAAATCTCGTCTCGGACCCGACAGGAAGCAGTTGTCGGAAGACGGCGCCATGCGGGGCATCATGCAGCATGGCCCCCATGTGTCAGGTGGTGATACAGCCCGTTTTGGGGCTTATGAGGTATACCCTAAGCCAGGAGGGCTTGGGCGAGTAAACTTGATACGCGCTGCAGTTCAGGGCCTTATCACGGGGTTTGGGCGAGTAAACTAGAACTGAGTTGAAGCTTCCTCCCCCTGATTACCTACAACCTACTTACCAAGTCCCCGCTTGAGTACGCCCGTGTGCGCCTACGAGCCTTATCGCCGAAGTCCCCTGTTGCAGTTCCCGCAGTATCGCCCTTCCTTCAACCTACTTACTCCCTAAACCCTAAACCCTAAACCCAGTCATCTGAGCCTGTATGGTTTGGCACGGAATCCAAGGCTCAAGTTAAGCTTGGTGGGTCGTTGAAGTAGGTGAGGTTATGGATTAGGTTTAGGGTTCACCTTAACCTACCAGAAGCTACGATCGAAGTCTCATGATCCTCATTGGGTAGCTGTGAGGTTTTGTCAGGGTGGTTTCAATCTTCAGTTTTTAGATTCGAAGGTTCAGAGCTCAAGCTGTGACAAAGGTTGTCAGGTTCAAGTAATCAGTTCCCTTCACGTCTACGTGCCACTCTACATCCGCCCTTGACCTTCGCAGCATGCTAAGGGCATCACAGTTCCTGAAGTTGGCAGACGTGGTGAAGCAGGTTCTGGAGAAGGAGGAACTGCCAGGGGGCAGGTCGAGTTCACACCAGAAGAGGCGTTGAACCGCACTAAATGCCCTAAACCCGAATCCTTGCTGCCTCAAGCACTAAATATTATAAGGTTTTTACGATGATCGTGTAGTGTTGGTGTGGACCTGTACAAGCAGGGAGAATCTGTGCCAACATCCGAGTTAAACCTGCTTCAACCGTACCATCAGAATCCTGCAGAACACTTCTTTGTTTGCGCAAGAGGTAGCTTCAAAAGTGCAACAAAAAACCTTCGAACGGTCTTATCAAAACAAAACTTCAAAGTCCTCTAGTACTCCCCAAGAGAGAGCAGATCCCTACAAGCAAGAAGCTATATAAACCCCTAGAAAGCCCTTATGAGACCCTGTAAAGTGCCCTCTCTAATCACAGGGCAGCTCCTGCGAGCCTCGCAGAACCTGCATAGTTGGTTCTATACTGTTTCTGGGGCTTAGGGTTTAGGGCTTATAAGTCTATAAGGGTTTAGGATCCCAGCGCTACTTTAAATTTAAGAATTTGAAGAGAGGAGACCCCTATAAAGCCTTTATAACGCCCTACGAAGCCCTTATAAGACCTTTCACAGTGCCCTACTCCCTAAACCTTAAACCCTACACCCTACACCCTAAACCCTATACTTATAAGTATCTGAAGAAGAGGAGATCGTCGACTCGGGACACTTCGCTGCCAACCCGGACTCCCCCCTTCGCTGGCTGGATGTGAACATGTGACTTCGGCCTCGGGGTTCCGGGCTTTCGGGTTCGGGGGTTTCGGGCTTTAGGGCTTCAGGGTTCCGGGCTTTCGGGCTTCAGGGTTCCGGGCTTTAGGGCTTCAGGGTTTCGGGCTTTCGGGTTCAGGATTTAGGGCTTTAGGGTTCAAGGTTTCGGGCTTTCGGGCTTTCGGGTTCAGGATATAGGGCTTTCGGGTTCAGGGTTTCGGGCTTTCGGGTTCGGGTTCAGGGTTTGGGGCTTCGGACGTTGAAGGTTTAGGGTGTCGGAGGTGTAGGGCCGATGTGACCATGCGCCTTCAACTTTCGGGTGAGGGGATGGTTGGGGTTTAGGGCCCTAAACCCTTACTAAACCCCAAACCCTAAACCCTAAACCCTAAGACTTGGGAGTAGGATGTTTAGGGTTTAGGGTTTAGGGCTTTGGAGGCCTACGGGATGAGGATTCAGGGATTTAGGGCTTGCGGGTTTCGAGTTTAGGGCTTGGGATGTTCAGGACTTGAGGTTTCGAATGCCTAGTAAGGGTTTAGGGTTTAGGGCCTAGGGTTTAGGCTAAAACGGCTTCGGGTTTAGGGGAGTTGGGCATTTAGGAGTGTTGGGATTCAGGGTTTCTTTGCATTTGTTCGCGCACTTTGCTCACTCCCCTTGGCCTTGCTCAGGTTTTGCGATTGAAGGTCTGGGGTTAAGGCGGTTGGGGCTGACGCTGTAAGCCCAAGTCAAACCCTGAACCCCAAACTTGAATCCTACACCTGGCACACGCTAAACGCTACATCCACATCCTAAACCCTATGTTGTAGGGTTTCGGCTTTAGGATTTCGGGAACTCGGGCTGAGCAGGATTTCAGGTGGGCCAGCTTCAAGTTCCCAATGCACCCAGGAATGAGCCGACTAGGTTTTCAGAGGCTTTGATTCGATAGGGTTTGATGAAGCTGTGTAGGTTTTGAAGAGTTGTGCAGCGTCTTACGCCGAGGGAGTTATATCTCGGCGCAGCTCGAGAAACGCGTCCGGTGGAAGGATGGCAAACTACGATGCTGAGAGGCGCCAAAACCTCGGGCGCTGCGAGGAGAGTCGAAGAGCTACTATAGATGCCTCATATAAGGTTACCTGTATTATTTTTTGGGGCCCCTTGTCATGATTATAGTATAGAATGTATCCCCAAAACCCTATTCTGATTATTTTAGGCCCCTACATGGCCGGCTTGCATCTCAGAGCCGACTTTGCCAGGTCGGGCTGGCTATCCACGCTTTGGAATGCTCAAAGACTCATTTCGGGTTTAGGGTTTACTTATAGTAATCCTCAAGCTCAAGCTCTTGAAGGCTGAAACGTGAAACCCAATGGACATCGACATGGGATCACGTGGCAGTCAGCTGTCCCAAACTGGACGATCCCAGCCGCGTTGTTTTTGAGACTTTGGGACTACTATCTGGAACTCTCGGCGGAGCAGCTTGGGATTCACTCCCATCCCGAGCTTTCCGAAGCCTCAATTCCTCAAACCTAGAGTCCTTTGCAGCCTTCTCAACTTCATCACCCTAAACCCCAAACTTTAAACCC